ATGCCAAGAAATTTCAAATGGCACGCATCCGGAAATAACATCACGAAGTTCGAACCAATAACTACTAAAACGCAAAGATATTTAGCTGTTTCAATTTTAATATATGTACTATATATTACTACATAAAATATATTGTAAAACAGCTATATTAACCTTGACTTGCATAAAAATACGTATGGCGTTAGTACATTGAATGATTTTAAATCCCTAAGTCGGTAAATAGTTAGGAAAAGTTTGCCGACCCCTGCTGTAACGTATTCGAAAATCATTTACCTTAACCAAGATAGACTTCTCATTGCCCAAATTCTCACAACGTTATGACAACTTTGCGAATTACTGTAGCTGAATTATATGTTTTAAACTTTATTTGTTTGAGCGATTACGGTCACATAGTAACAGTAATGTGACTATGTGACCGTAGAAATATCTATAGCATACAATTTTGATTGATTAAAGAAAATTGGAATCAGAAAAGACCGTTAAACTTACTAGGGACATATGAGGATAGAGGACTTAGAAATGTGACCCTCAAAAGACATATTAAAAGCAAAAGAGGGATTGAGAGTTATAATGAGGATAGGATCGTTGTTTAGAGGTACAGAAACCCAGTAGACAGTCATTATCACCCACATCCTTATAGGGCACGTTGCATTAAAGAAGGAAAGAGGACTAACATCTTTAACGTTATTATTCGCTACCCAGTTTTATTTTATTTTATAAGCTTTCAGTTTTTTGTGATGTCAGCGAACACTCATTGCAACTTTTGTGATGCCAACGAATACTCCTTGACACTTTCGTAAATGCTTGTTGTAGTAGAGACTTTGTAATCGCAGATACAGCTATAGTACGCTGTTGAACAATACTAGTGTCAGGCGCCTTTAAATATCACTCCGAATATTAGTACTTACTCGATAATACTCGCTCGAATAGTAATCACCGTATTGATCCGAATAGAGTGTAGAGACGGGAATAGAGAATAGCGGTTCGTATAATAATAGAGGATAGACTAGAAATGGAGATCCGAATAGTAATAGAAGATAGAATAGAATCGTTTGTCGTCAGCTACTTCCTTCATTTATATGTGTTTCCTTTATGGTCGCGTGGTCCTACTTAATTCAATAATGGGGTCGCCTGTGTTTGCTCACTGGCGATCTGTGTTCAAACTCAAGTGTCGGCAGCGACACTTTATTCCTATATAACACAGTTAGTAGGTACCTTGATTGCTAATCGATATAACATATATTTACCGTTCGACACATGCGGGCAAATATAGACTAACCAATACTTAATTATAGTTTTACTTTGATAAATTGACTAGAAATATTATCCTTTGATTAATTCGAATATATTTTCTTTTTTTATCGTGATGTTTCGACACTTTCCTCTCTTGTCTTATGCAGGTGTCAGCCACATTCGGAAAACAAAGACTTTATTTGTTGTTTTAATTTTCATGAGCATGTCTGGTGTCAATCAGCAAGTATTAAACTTTCGAGTTCCAGGAAACCAGATGAATTATACAAGCGCTTTTATTCAATGGGCCATGGCTTTAAGAATACTCTCAAGTAGTATTATTTTTTTTCATTTAACACAATAATTATCTTATAAATTTCCGCCTTTCGCAGTTGATCCCGTGAACAGCATTGACGGAAATTCTCTTACTCTTCCGGTAATGGGTTAATCCTGATAGCTACCAATTTACTGAAAGAAAAGCCAATAAGTTCAATACCTAAAAAATATCACGAAAATTCGCCAGGTACACCGGATGAAACAGAAAAATTAATGCTACCCCCACGATGTAAATGATTGCTTTACAAAATGATGCCTGATTATAACAGAGATCAATGTCAACAAAGGTGATTGTTGCGTGACAATCGTTATTGGGTGTGTCACGCTACTAGATCAGCTGGAACTAACGCATTCTTTTGCTATATCCAAGTGTGACAGGAAGCTGCTACCTCCTCTGACCCAGCCCTATACACACAAAACCAAACTAGTAACATCCCACCATCACCGAGAATACCATCAGCTTTTACCTATCAAGATGGAGGTATGTTCTCTTAAGGAGGCATCTTGACTTAAACGCCTGTTGGGACTCAAGTTCACCGCAAACCCCAAGTGGAACTCATAATGATGGCGTCATCAATTCTTTCTTGATCTGATATTCACCCAAAAGCCCACAGGTCCTGGTTGACACTGGCTGTCTTAACTGTATATTGGAATCGTTGAAATGAAAACTTATGATTATTATTTAATCTAATTTCTTTGTAGTTTAACTTGATTTTTGTTCGTTTTTTTTGCCATGCTATTTCAGAATATAATTCTATATTTTTATTTTTCTTCCTTAATTGTTCTAATTTTCTCCTTTCCAAAGGTGCCGCTCGCGAGAATCGTCTTCTCCAGACCGATAACATCAGGAAGTCTCCTTCCTGACAAATCAACTCTGGTGAGATACGAACCCTGGTCTCATAGTCAGAAAGCGAACGTTCTAACCAATGGGCCACACGCCTATATATGAGCCGTCCCTTTTACTGACATCTTTAACCTCTGTTATGGTCCAGGTTAGGACCAAGGAAGAACAACACGAACACAAGAGTAGAAATAACGAAGGTATATTACACGAAATAATAATACAAGATGTGGAAGGTGTTAGTATGACTGTCAGTCTGGTTTGGAATGAACTACTATCGGCTCGACTCGATTCGGTATCTAGCCACCCCTCCCACGAGGGTTGCATGTGGCACAAGGCTGAGTTTAACGTGGGTTTCCCGAGCCCGTATGCTCGGCCAAAAAATGCCCGTAGAACCCGTATAAACGGGATCGGGTTGGTCAACCTCACCGAACGAGACTCTGCCCTTCGGCGGAGCCTCGTCCGGGTTCCTCTCTGCTCAGTGGCAGAGAGTTCGACCGTCAAGCCGAGAAGCTCGGCTTGATTCGTCCATCTCTCTTGAGTGGCGTAGTATACATAGTGTTAGGAAGAGTTCATTCTGTAGTTATTGGTAAGGACTCATGACAACCTCCCAATTGAAAAATACGCCACTGAGATTTCTTCTCGGGTCAAAGCAGACATGGACGCTCTCATGTATTCTTGGAAATACCTGGTGAATCCATTATCGTCCCCATGGGTTACACTAGCATGCTCGGCCACCATAGGACACAGCAAGCAATATTTCCGACTATACCAAGTGCCTATTTGCTACCGCTCGTAACAAATCTAAGCGATTCATCAAAGAAGCTAAAGTCCCTGTTTGCTGAAAGAATAAGGCACCGCATAGCCTCTAAAAACTTTGGCTCTTGTGACTACTGGCGTCACTGTAATAAGGTACTAGGTAAGAATAATTCGATATATTTCCTCCGAAATGCGCTAATTTAACTTCAAGTGAATGAATACAACCTGTCGAATCTTTTACATACGTAGAAAGCGAAATACAGTGTGTCCATAAAGTTCATGTGCACTTTAAAAATTTATAACTTTATTTGTATTTGCGACAGAAATAATTTGTAAAAAGGATTAGAAAGAAGTAAATAATTTTTTATTGAAATTTTATTGAAATTTTAAGTTTCCACATGTCCTCCATCATTAGCAATACAAAGGGTAATACGATTTTGCAGTTCACAGAAAATATTTGCCAACTAATTTACAGTAATGCCGAAAATCACATTAGTTATTTCAGCTATACTTAAAACTAGGTACATTAAACTTTATAACATTTTTTACAGATTATTTCTATCGCAAATACAAATAAAGTTATAAATGGTTTAAAGTGCGCACGAACTTTATGGACACCCTGTATATTCTACCGAGAAAGATGTGAAAATTCGCATAGCTAAAGTCTTGACTGCCTTAAATAAAAAATGGATGTAATCTGGAAATCTGATCGACCAGACAACCTCAAATGGAGGTTCTTTCTAGCCACTGTAGAAGAGGTGTTAATGTATGGTGTCAATGCCTGGACATATTAGGTAAAACCCTAGTCTAAGCTTGATTGAATCTACACTCGAATTCTACAATCTTACACAAACTCAGAATGCGTTTTGAAGGGCACTCGTAAGCGATCTATTGATCTGGACACCTAGCCATGGAGCAAGACGGGTTGGTCGCCCAGCAACCACCTACATTAAATAGCTATTCTATGGCTTAGAATGCCTCCCTAATGACCTTCCGAACTGGATGCAGGACCGTGGTCGTTGCTGTCATAGACACATGAATGTCCGAGATAACTCAACCGAATAATATGACTTCAACTAATCAGAAGAAATCAAAATTGATTCTGGTTTCCTTCGACGGAACAGCTTCTCTCAGACCATGTCTGTGCCAATCCAAACAAGATTCTGATATAGCTTGGTAAAATAGTTAAATTGTTCAAATTAGTCAGTAAATTGAACTCATGTCTCAAACTTTCACACAAAAACTGCCTGCACACAGAAGTGGAGAAAAATTCTGTTACTGAGTTTGTTGATTAATGAATTACTTACGGTGCTCGTCCGATCACCGAAGTTAAGGAACGTTGAGTTTAGCCAGTACCTAAATGCGTGACCGCTTGGGAAATACTAATAATTCTAAGCTTGAATGTTAGTGAGGTGTCATGGGTTCTAATGAGAATTTGGAGCGCCGAGTTCGAATTCCAATCAAGTTAGTTACATTGACTAACGGGCAAATAACCTTAGCAAAGCTATGAATCCATATCTTTTACTCCCAACTACGGGTTAAATAACAAAACAGATTGTGTTCTATAGCCTCGGTGTAAGAATGAAGTTCCACTCAAACAGCCTCTTGGCACAAACTTTGTGAAACAGACTACTGAGAAGATGCTTCCCCGGCCACTATAAACGTAATCACATCAAGTATTGAGCGAACCGTTACCTTTCTCACCATTCATCATGAAATACGTTTATTTCTTTTACCTCCCATGCAACAATCTATTTCAATAACCTTCTACTTTGACGGGATGTTAAGCCTTGTTTATTGTGAAGATTAATAATAAAACAAATGAACTAAGGTTTACGGCCACGTCACCTTAAAACACCGGTCCCCATAAGATAACCGAAGTTAAGCAACGTCGAGTCCCGTCAGTACCTAGATGGGTGACCGCATGGGTATATCAGGTACTGTAAGTATGGATGGGCGCGTTGTGTAATAGATAATGGCTCGGAATTGTTAATCGGAGAGACAGGTTCCAATTCTTGTTCTGTTCGTTGCATTCACTTACGCGCAAAGGGAAAGGTATTAAAGCACCTCTTCCCCCAGCTATGGGTTAATTAGTAAGACTCACTAAACCATTGCCATCAAAAAAAATTCTGACTAGCTAAAAATAATTTTTTTTGGCTTTTAATATCCTGCAATGGAATGATAAGCCGTAGAAAATAAAACGTTTTATCGTTCGATTTCACAAATTTTCACAATTTCTGTTTGGTTAGAAAGACTTTAATAGATTTCTCTGTCCTCTGGATTGTTCATTCCACTTGAAACCTTACGACAGTCGGTCGCTTTAGAGAACACTATATGTTTTTTTCCAAGACTTAGACTGTACAAATCCGCCTCGAAATATATCTTAGATATGAGACAAGGTTCTTTAAGTCCTTCAGTTCGATTGCAATTATATCATAAAGAAAATTCCTGTTGTCGTCTGACGCCAATTTTCTTTTTATAAAATTAAACAAAAACAAATCCAGCCCAAACCATGTCTCAGATCTGTGAAAATGTTGGTGAAACCCTTTATACCAGTTTCATGTACATCGCTGCATTTATATCACAAAAATGCCTGACATCACCTGATGTCAGTTTGTTTTAAAAAATTAGCCTTGAATCCAAAGCACGTCTTAGATCTGTGAAAATGTTAGTTAAGTCTGATATCCTTTGTATCAGGTTCAGTTACAGAGTTTTGTGCATATCATTTTGTGTGCTATTTTTTTTTAAGTCTTGGTGTGCAGCAAATTCATTTACAATAGAATGCAATACACACGTGTATACACTTATAGGTCTATTACTCTACTGAAGTGTGTGCGTGCGTTTGTGTGTGTGTTTGGACATCACGGCCAAGCGGAAAATCCCAGATGCCCAACGTATAGAGTTCAAGTATAAATAATCTATTTATGTTTGAATTCAAAGTTCATCTGAGATCACTAGAAAGCACGGAGCGTGTCATTTCGAACCAAATGAAAGAATATCTCTGAAAATGGAGCGCATATTGTGTATCCTTTGGGGAATAAAAATTGGTGGTTTTCCTAAGGAGAATAAGGAAGAATTACTTTGTAGCCTTCATGATAGGAGTTACTGCCAAAAAATTATATTTTTGAAGTTAAACTGGTACAAAGGAGTAATTTGGCCAGAAATAGGTCTGTGAAGATCATTTGAAACCAATTTGGGATTAAAATTATTTTCTCATCAAATTTAAAGAAATTAAACTAACTAAACTTGATTTTCTTGTACAATTTATGAAACTTTATGCATCCCGAAAAACCCTTTTCAGAGAAATCTTTCAAATGGTTTTAATGTTTTAAGTTAATCTATGCCTGACAATCCCAGTTAATATACACTCAGAGAGATAGATGCAAATAGAATGAGATAGATAGATAGATAGATAGATAGATAGATAGATAGATAGATAGACAGACAGACAGACATGTGTGTGTGTGTGTGTGTGTGTGTGTAAGATCCCTCTCTTTAATTTTTACTGTGTTTTACCAATTTTAAAATAAGATGTTGTATCTTAAGATCGAAATTGTGGATAAGCTAACCGAAGTTCATAGTTTTTCTGTTGTGTTTCTCAATCGCTTTCGACTGTCCCAGTCATTTTCATATTTAGAAAGGCGAACATCTTAAATTCGCCGCAACTGCATCAAAAACCATAAAAGAATTAATCAATGCATAACAAAAGAAACCAAGGAGAAATTGTCAGAAATAATATATTGGAGAAATTTAAACAGAAGATTTTATGAACACAAAAGAGACATTTAAGAAAAACAATACGCAAAATGCATTGGTTGTTCACCATAGCGAAACTGATCACAATTTTGACATAAAAATGCTACTCTAATGAAAAGAGAAAATAATTCACTAATAAAATGCTTTAATCACTAGTTCATCCGCAGTAAATTTTCGGCTGGTTTCTTACAAGAATGGTTCCAACATACTTTACAGATTTTCTGTTATCACAATGTGGAATATTTAAAAACAAAGATTATGGAAAGAGTAAGAAAAAGAATAGAGATCAATTTGGTCAGATTGACAAAAAAATTATTTCAAAAATTTTGAAACTACCAGCGACTCTCGTTCATGCGCATGCGTGGTCATAACAACGTCAACAATCCCAGTCTGATAAAGTCCTAACGGATGCAAGGCGTCACAAGTACTTTTTTTCCATTTTGCCTTGCAATCTCCGATATATATATATATGTGGGGGGGGTGAGAGAGAGAGAGAGAGAGATAAAGATATATATTTTTATATATCAAGAGCAATATTGGAGAAACTGTATGAAAGAGTGGAAAAAGTTTATTTGTGACGCGTTTCGTCCTTCAGTACTTCATCGGGAATATACATAATATCCCACATCAATAGCACGACTCGGAGTTTCGTGCAAACACGCAATCCTCAGATGTAAAATACTCACTGACCATTAAGCGTTACCTAATACTTAATATATATATATTACAACAGTTGGTATGACGTTTGCCTGATAACGTAACTGTCCGGTTTCAATTCTCGATAGTGGATGCGCACTGCTGATGAGTCCCAAATATAAAACGAAACGGCCGTCCAGTGCTTTCTGCATTCTGTTGAGGTTTCTTCTACAATCGATGAATTACTTGATTATAATTCTCTCAAATCCTCCTAATTTCTCTCACTTGTATATCCTTGCTTGAACCGGCTTCTAATGCTCTGGATGGAGCGGCTTGGGGATAGTAGTCGTGGCTCGTGGGGGACACAGTCCTATGGGTCAAAGAGAAACTTTGGATGAGTTCCACTACGGAATATGTGATCGAGCGGCGCTATATCGAGTTTGATTCGCTAACTCATCGTTACCGAGGACCGTTGGAACAGTTGGTATGACGTTTGCCTAATAACATAACTGTTTGGGTTTCAATTCTCGGTGGATGCGCTCTGCTGAAGACTCCCAAATTTAAGACGAAATGGCCGTCCAGTGCTTTCTGAATTCTGTTGAGGTTTCTTCCAGACTCGAAGAATTATTAGTTACAATATATATTGCTCTACTTTGTATTGAGCACCTTTTTTTTTACTTCATCTGTTCTTTCTCTTATTTTGGATGGATACTTACATACATACATATATATTTTAGCAATCCATAGATATAGGAATAGTTAAATTGTAGAATGGCTCAAACGACGTGGGATCTGGGATGGACTTAACTATTTTAAGGAATATGCACCACTAATATCCTAAAGGAATTCATTTCTAATATCCTAAAGGAATCCTTTTAGCCTGTTTAAGTTAAAGACCAGAAATACAATCAGGAATGCTAAAAAGCACACGCCATAATGTTTTAATCAATACAACAAGACTAAAGATTTTAGGCGTTCATTGTCAAGAAGGCTGCTTTAAAAAGCGTTAGAATTAAGCAAGTTATTGCCAATTGGCCATCTCACATTCTTTAACATTATATAGTGGTATCGATTAGAAATTGTTGTGTAGATGAACACACCTCTCCAAAAGATGACATGGACTCGCCCAAATACATATATACGGAATTCGAGTATCGTCAAAAGAATGGATAAACAAGTAGAGAGTTAGAAATTTAGCTTATCTGTTTACTACATATTTCAGCAAGACTACTACGTCGACTTCAAGCGACATAATAATTCTTGATTTTCTTCATTCAATGCAATGAAGATATAACAGCGGCGGCGAGAATTTGAATTCACGCGAAAAAAAAATGTTTCCTTTCGCTTACCATAAATAACAGGCGAATTTCAAATTTTACAAAAAAGAATTGTTCGTATATATTCATAGCGTGAAGCGGAAGCCGATAAAACTCAACGCTGTATGATATACGGCTATTAAAGAAAGAACAAAACTTTTTTCTTCCAAGTTAAGACTACCTGTACGAACAAAATACACTATGGAAGAATTGAAGATAATTATTCAGCAACAGTAAGAATTCCAGGAGACTTTATGATAACAAATGCAACGGGAACTGATTAAATAACAAGAACAGATCAAAGCAATCCTGGGAAAGCAAGGAACAGACAATGCGTCAGTTTCGTTTTCGTCGGTCTCAGTCGCTATCTCGATTAATGAATTTAACTAGGCACCAGAAGAAAACATTACATTTCTATCATACTTCAGAAGGCACGAGAATATTTTCAGAGAAGAATGTCAAGGATGAAGAAGGTACGTCTTCTATTACGAAAATTGTGTCCCGCTGAATAAAATAAATCTAAATTTCATTAAAATAATATATATATATTAAAATAATATATATATATATATTAAAATAATATATATATATATTAAAATAATATATATATATATATTAAAATAATATATATATATTAAAATAATATATATATATATTGAAATAATATATATATATATATTAAAATAATATATATATATTAAAATAATATATATATATTAAAATAATATATATATATAAAATAATATATATATATATATATATTAAAAATAATATTTATATATATATATATATATATATTAAAATAATATATATATATATATATAAAATTAATAATATATATGTGTGTGTGTGTGTGTGTGTGTGTGTGTGTGTGTGTGTGTGTGTGTGTGTGTGTGTGTGTGTTATTTTAATACGTATTCTCGGTGGTGTGAAAAAGCCCGGATAATAAACTCTGTAAATAAAAATATATTTGAACAGTCCGATATCAGGGGAAAAAATCAGTATAAAAATAAAATACTAAAGACATCCATGTTAATTGAAAATAATCAATCATTACCGCAATGCCTAATCAAAAGACAAATCACTGACCAAGTAAATTAAGTAAAATCGTAAAAGTACTCAATACACTAAGTAGAGCAGTTTTTTTTTTCTTGCTTTTTTTTTATTTATTTTACTCTGTCGGTGTTTTTTCTTCTTTTGTCTAGGTATTGCGATGCTGCTTGATAATTGTACCCCTA